ATGAAGGAAATCCATTTTGTTTGCTTTTTGCTAGATCCGTCAGACTAACAGATTTGGTCGGATTAAGATTTTTTAGCAGCTTAAATATTTCTTGGCCAGTTGATATGTGAGCTTTTTGTTAAGAGTCCTGCTGGTCACTAACATAAATAAATAAATAATAATTAAATAAACTGGAAGAATAACCCCATTTCCAACACTGCTGTGTTGATTCTTTAGTAGAACCATCCTGAGAGTTTTTATTTCAAATATTTGCAGGGTGCTGTTTCTCCACCCGCACATTTTGTGAGTCATGGCTACATGCAAACTTGACATAGTGAGAGGTGCTTTTCCTTCTATTTCTCTCCGTTTGTTTGTGAGTAAATTTGCCAGGAGTTTTTGTAGCATTTGAGTCATTTCTTGTATTTTTTCAGGAAAACATTCAACTAAAAGCAACTTCTCCATAAACTGTACAATTGGAACGTAGACAAAGTTAATTAAGGGGTGAAAAATGTAAAAGATTAAACGGGCTGTTACTTGGATGCTTTTTAAGATTGTGTATTTTTGCAGGCTGTGTTTTCAGCTTTCAGGAATGTGCTTTCCAGGGCAACTCTGAAACCCATGGAGGAAATGGATTTCTGTATAATCACAAGATCATTAAACCCTAAGTCGAGATTAAAGGTTTAATGCGTTTCTGGTGACCCAGCTGAAAATTCTTTCATTACTTTTTAAAGATATTTTTTCACAAAATGTTTTGCCAAAAAGACAAAGCAAATAGGATATTACTCATATTACCTGGAAAATTTCAGTTTCTCTAAAAAAGAGACACAAATCATCAGGTCTTTGCTTAATATCCATATGTCATTGGTTGTTTTAAGCTTCTAACGTTAAAAAAAATATATGTTATGCAAATCACTGGAACTGCTTAATATATCAAATGGCAGTTTTATTGATATATCAATCCATGCATTACTGCAAAGGACAGCTATTAGGATCTGGGTCATGCATTCAATCCAATGAAAACAATGTGTTGATTATAGAGTTTTAACAAAAATATGGATATATTGTACTCAGTATCCTCACTATAATATTCAACAGCAATATTTTAATGCTATGTTTTCCTAATATGGTGAAGCTCTACAACTTACAACTAAATACATTTTCATTTGTCTGATGTTGACAACTAAACGTTGGGTATCATGGAAAGAAATAACCTGATTTCACATTTTTTTGGTGAATATATGTTAATATTTTGCAGAATTGTTTTATGGGCATCATCTAATTCCTAATGTTCAAGTCTCTCAAGCAGGGGTTAAGGTAAATGTTATTTTTATTTTGAAGAACATGGTTTAAAAAATACAGCAATAATTCTCTGATTATTTTATTTTATCAGCCTAGTCATATTTTTCCCCTAAGCAAACACACTGCATAAAAGGACAAGAGCACTGGGTGTATTGTAGTTCACATAAACAGGCTTCCTCCCTCAGTTTGATTAGATATACATATAAAAAGTAAGAGAAATGTTATCAGTTTTATTGTGTTTTTTGATTAAATGGCACATTCAATCAGAATAACTGGAATCCTGAGTTGCACTATTTCTTTCTTTTTTATTTCCATCCAGGTATCTAATTATTTGACCAACTTATAGACACTAATGGTTTGAATATTTCCTGTTTGAAAAATGCTTTGACTCAACAGTTTGTCAAGGTTAAAACAACGTTTGCACAAGTTTGCAAATTTGCACAAGTCCAAATTTGGCTTACAGTGTTAGGAGGATATAAAGGATTACTGGAATTGATGTTTCTGAATCTCCCCCTCTGTTTATTCAGTATCAACTACAGAGCTTAAGAAAATTCAGAATAGATCATACTTTAAAATATTTTATTAAATATCTTCAGCAAATGTATCTCCACACAAGTAGTAAAACTTACAATCATTACAGTTTTATTTAGTAGTCAATATTAACTGAACTGACAGAGAGTTTACTTTGTAAAACATGTTGCTTAGAAGGTTTGTTCTTTTTTTTTGGCAATATCATTTTATTTTTAAATAATGGTCTTGCAATACTCTCATATTATAAAGATGAATCTAATTAGAAAATGCATTCTGAACCAGAAACACATGATTGATTTGTTATATCTATCAATAAGTCTGTTTATCCTCAGCAGCCTCTGAAGTGTTCACTGTCCACATCCCGTAGGTCCTGTCCTACCATATTTGGTGGACTTGTGCATGTAATGTTGTTATATATGGTGATTGTACTGTCAGGTTCTTCAGCTTCTGCATGGGTCTTTACTTGCCGAGGGATGACTTGAGGTTTCTGTAAGCTGTAGTTTCTGAGTGGGAGTGTCTTGCAGTCACATTTCCACTGGTTTCCAGACAGCAGAAGTTTCTCCATGTTCTCTGAGAAATTGGTGGCTATGCTTGTCAAGGCATTGGACCGTAGGTCCAAGTAGCGCAGGCGAGGAAGTACCTGCTTTGTGCCATTCTGCAAAAACTGCCGACAATCATTATTGGACAACAGAAGGTACTCCAGATTCCCAAGGCCAGAGAAAGTGTGATCTGTGAAAACCTCCAGCTTATTGACACTTAAATCCAATCCTAGGAGGCCGATCAGATCCACAAAACTCTCATCCTCCACCACAGTGATATTATTCTGTTGAAGGAAAAGCCTCCGTAAACCAGAGAGACCACTAAAAGCTAGAGCTGTCACTCTCGTGAGGCAACCTCTGTCAAGATGTAAGCTGTGAAGTTTTGACAGACTTTTAAACATGTTGTCAGGCAGACTTTGGAAGCAGCTCCCAGACAGGTTTATGACAGCTACACGGGACAAGCCAGCAAAACTTCCCATTCGTGCTTCTTGTACTTGATTGTGATCCAGCTCTAGAACCTCCAGATGGCCAAGTCCTTCGAAGACCCTCTCCCCTAGAGTTCTAATCCTGTTGTAACTGAGCCTTAATTCCTCCAAGTACTGCAGGTCACGGAAAGTCCTGGGCCTTAAACCGGCGATAGAGTTGTTGGAAAGGCGCAATACATGAAGACTGTGCAAGCCTAGGAACGTGTCTTCATGCAGAGAAGTCAGTCTGTTGTTTCTCATGTCCAGCCATCTGAGCGACTTCATGCCTACAAACGCCCTGGGTGCTACTGTCCCAATCTGATTCTGGGCCAAGTAAAGCTTTTGCAGTTTAGTGAGTTTAACAAACACATTAGCTTTGATAACTCTTAGGTAATTTCCTGTCAGATCAAGCTCTTTTAGCTCACCAAGGTTTTGGAATAGCTGCGGCTGCAAGTAAGCAAGTCTGTTTCCTGCAAGGTTCAGCTCTCGCAAACCTACCAGATCATTGAAAACGGTTTCCGGCAAGACTGTAAGGGAGTTCCATCCTAGATTTAGAAACCACAATTGTGAGAGCCCAGCAAAAAGCCTTTCATCAATGCGACTGATCTGATTGTTATGTAGGCTAAGTGAAGCAAGGTTAGGTGTGTTCTGGAAGACTGGAGCTGGTAAAACACGGAGGCGGTTTCTCTCAAGGTGCATGTGGGCTAGGGATCGGAGGCCTCTGAAAACCTGAGGGTCAAGGGTCAACAGCTGGCCACTCTGAAGATTCAAAAAGTCCAGGTTGCTTAGATCCCTAAAAGATGCTGCGGGGAGGGAAGTAAATAAGTTTCCATCTAGCCAGAGAATTTGTGTGGTCAGTGGTATGTCAGCTGGTACTTGAGTTAAGTTTTGAGCACTGCAGTAGACGTTGAACTCCAAGCTGTACTCATCATGCACACAGCTGCAGCCTTTTGCACATTGTACGGGATCCTGAGACACCATCTCTCCAGCTGTGTCTGGGTCTGGCAACACTACTGATGCTCCCAGTACCAACACACTCAGCAGTATAATGGTTTGCATTCCAGCTATGGACAAAGAATTCAAATCAAATCAAAGGTTAACTGTTGACCATTAGGGAAAATCTGTTCATTTTAAATTAGAGTCAGTTGAATAATTCTGCTACTTAAATGTCTAATCCATCCTGCTTACCTTTAGTTGCTGAGGACTCAATTTAAAGTGGACAGGCTGTGAAACACTGAATGGCTGATGCTTGTGCAATTGTTTGTATGCTGAACGGAAAGAATGCCAAGCCCACAAACTTTTTTTTTAAGTCAGCTGCACTGAAGGTTCACCATTAACCCATTCATATCCATCTTCCATTCATCATACCTTCTTCATATACTTTTATTTCAGATGTTTTCAAAAAGCAAACTTAACATGAAAATTAAACATTTGACCTGACTTTGTTTTTTACAAACTTTGAAAGACATTTTCATCAATGGAGGTTTATACTAAAATAGTTTTTAGGTGTTAACTAACAGCAAGACCCAGTGCTGAGTAGAAACCATGATCAATTTCAACTTATGACTCAAAGTTTAGTTGCAATATGTAACTTCTAACTATCTCAAGTATGTTTAAGGAACCATTCCTATGATACCAGCAACTGAAAAAGGAACAGTGTGTTGGTGCCTTTTCTGCTTTATTTACTCAGCTATCCGGTCTGGGGTCCGAAGGTTCCAGAGGTCCATTTCCTAATCACATAAATGATTGTAATGGCTAACGTTCTGTTTACTCTTTTAAATGGTATCAGGGTTCTTTATACATTCATGAAATGGTCATGGCCTGTGGGGGAAGCCAATCTAACTAACACTGTCTCCTTGCACATGAATTGTGTTGATCTAATCCAGTACTTTGTCATGTATATCCATCTGCCCACCTTTATTATCATTATTATTATTATTATTATTATTATTATTATTATTATTATTATTATTTTGTTCATCTATTGATTGGCTTGTTTCAGGGCTTCACTGTGGTGTGGTTTGTAGCACTGCCGCCCTGCAGCAAGAAGGTTGTAGATTTGATTCATGGCCTTGGGTCTTTCAACATGGTGTTTGCATTTCTCCCATGGCATCTCTCTGCGTTGTCTCTAAATTGCCCTTAGGTGTGAGATAGGCACCAAGCCCCTTTGACCCTGATGGATAAGTGGTAGAAGATGAATGTATGACTTGTTTTTACAAGAAATTTCTGTTTCCTCTAATATTATCAAAATAAAAAACTGTTTAGATTCAACGATTTATCTTTTATGTAGTTTAATCTAAAGTATCTTAGCTTCTATTTATTTGGTACAGTGCAGTGTATGTTTTTTTTTTTTTTTTTTTTCCCATTTATTTGCTTTTTTTTTCCACCTTTTTTTTTTTAGGTTCTTTTTAGCCATTTGGGTTAAAATTAAAGGGGGTTTTTCAATGGTGTCTGTTTGTGTCTTTTCAGCTGCTCCCATATTCAGGAGCTGCCACAGCAAGTCATTAGGATTTACTCACACACTGGGCAAAGATTTTTACACCAGGTGCTTTTCCTGACGCAATCAGGAGACAAATCTTAACATGAGCAAAATAAGTTGTCCAAGCTAACCTAGTCAGATGTTAAAAAGTAATTGCTCCCAAAAGTTAGTGAGCTATTTAGAAATGAAATAAACGGATGGCTGTATTCCAATAATCTCTACTTAGTGCCGTTTGGCTAAGTCACTTTGTAGCATTTTTCAACCAGTAAAAGCTGATCACAATTTTTAGCATCTAGTTGAATTCCATGAGTGCCAAGTCTTGTGGAAATGAAGCTTAAGAGTAAAATCAATCTAGAAGAGTCTTATCAGTTTCACCTGAACCACCTGCGATGTCCCTCCTTCAGCTCCAGCCAATCAGCTCAGGGGCCGCACCTTCTACAAAGCCAATCAACTTGCAAGATCCCCTTTGTTTAGCTCCTGGACCAGCTTCTCTGTCCTGCACACAAGCAAACTTTCACCCACATCAACAGCATCTCCTCCATCATTCTCATTTCCACTCACCCTCTGGCTTATTCCACCACCAGTGTTCGGGCCCAGGGAAAACACTACTCTAATCCCTCTCTATGCTAGTCATTCAAGCGTACGTTGATTCACAGCATCAAAGTCTTCTGCTGGGGCCCGAGCTCTGTGAACCCCAGTCGGCCTTGGCAGATGGCCGCTCACACTGAGCCTGGTTCTGCTGGAGGTTTCTTCCTGTTAAAAGGGGGATTTCCTCTCCACTCTCCCTACACACATGCTCAGTGTGAGGGATTGCAGAGAGTCAATGAATCCTCACAATTAGCTGGATTTCCTTAGATAAAAATATTTTTGAAGAATATGATTGTGCTACCTCTATAAATACATTTAATATTTTCTAATTACAACTTTTCTCTCTCTCTGTGAGTCTCTCCAGGTTGAAATATCCCCAATCATCTAATATGGCAAAAGAAATCACCTGATTGTGACTCAACCAGGGTCATTTTAAAACAAATGCAAGATGTGAAAAAAGCAAAATAACATCTGGGATGCTGCTGGTCATCTGTCTCAGAGTTAAAAAGTGTATACTGTTCATCAAAAAGCTAAAGTGGACTACTGATCCATCGTGGATTTGGCAGAAAGACTAGGTAAACCCGCTTTAAATGCTGCAACAGAACGTTGAAAGAAAAGAAAAGGACACAGATAACAGGCTCAGTTAAGATCAACTAACATATAACTCGGGGATCAGACACCAAGGCTTTTTTCAGATGATCTTTGAGTAAGACTCTTTCATGCATTCACAACAGTATTTTTTCCTTTCCTTCTCTTTTGTCTATTGGTGTGTTTTTGGTTTTAAAGATACATTTTATGCAGTATTTCCTGCTAAGTACTGTGTGAAATTTAACCTTATGTAGTTTTGTTTACGCAACTGTGAAAAAAGTGCTGAGTAACTAAACATGCAATTTGTTTGAAAGGACAATACCAACAAACACATTGTAATGACCGTCTGTTGTAAATTTGAGTAATTTTAATGACCACTATCTACCATTGTAAGATTTTATCTTTTGAGTTGTTTCAATTGCTTTAGTCATTTAATATAGATGGTGTGTGACTAACTGTTAGCCTTCTGCCACTCCAAAGATTTGATTAATTTCCAAGAATTCTCAGGGTGAAATAACAACTTTTTAAAACAAGTAAAAGAAATGTTATACTTTGGAGTATGTTTTTCTGGGTTTCTTTGCCGAACCTTTTGGAGGAGTTTTTAAAGCAGCCTTTAAGTTGTCTTATATTCAAAACCACTACTTCATGTTTTCTCAGTTTGCAAAAAATATGTCTCAGAGTGAGTCCCAAAGTCTTAACATTGGTTATCTAAACTCTTCCAGGCTAAAAAATATCAGTTTCTTTGTTTCTCATCTGTCTTAATTTTGAAGATCAAAAGTATTTTTTTGCTGCTTTATGATATCTTTTGGCCTACTAGGGTTCTCTCTGTCAAATGTCTTGATTCTACAGGGCAGGCAATGGTATTGCCTTTGTGTGAAACCTATGGAGGTTACCTTTTCGCCCTAAACACAAATTTTGACCAAGTTTTCCTTTTACATAAAATTTTTAGATTTTGGGGGATTTCTTTCCAAAACCATAAAGCATATTTTTCTCATTGAAATATTTTATGAGGCTCTTATAAATCAAAAAACGAGCTTTGCTTCCTGAACCATTGCATTAATGCCATTGCATTTTGTCCTCTTTCATGTTGAAATAGGCATACTGAGGTTTCCAATAAAACAAAAAAGCCCAAATTCATGTTTATAATGTAGCTGAAATGTGCACTCTTATCATATATAGGAGATTTTTATTTCTTATATAATTTAACGATCATATTCCCAACCTCAGAAACACTGCTGAAAATAATCATCACAGGGTAGAAATCAGATCCTTTTGTCAACAGCAGAACAATGACTGAAATGTCAGTTTCTCTCAGAAAATTGCCTTGTGCCATGGCTTTCCACTCACTGTGGCAGCATGATTGTTGCTCTCCTGACAAACACCTCTAATTGGCTCATTTGTGGCACTCGGTCATACACAAAGGTTTTCTTTTGAGGCCTGCTACAGTGGAGCTCTAGTGATTGGCAAAACCGTTCTGCAATTCTGTAAATTTCTGTTGCCAATGTCTGCTGCCAATGTTCTTTGCTATCTTCAAAAATATATATATTTTCTATTATTTAAATTTGTTGGGCCCTGCCATGGGAACCAACAAGGACTATAATACAGACATAAAATAAAGCAGACTGATAAAAACACAGAATTATAGAATATACAACAGTATTAGGGTTACAAAATGCTTATAAATGCTCTGGAAGTATTTCCCTATCCCAGTTACTAATGTTAAAGCTAAATACATTGTTAAAGTTAGGACTGTAGATAGTATTGGTACTGCTGTGTTAATAGGCAGATCAATCAGTTCATGTTGGTTGTTGATCATTCTATTCAATCAGTGATGGCTGGGTTACCTTAAAAGCAAATTGACCAAAATTTTTTTGAGGTCTAGGTAAGGAAAATAATTTCTGTAAGACGACTTTTACTGAAATGAAGCCTAAACGAAAGTTCAATCTGGACAACTAATCAGTCTGATCTGGAGCCCCTGCTGATGACCCACGTCAAGCTTTAGCCTATCTATGTTGGAATCGCACCTTCTCTGAAGCCAATCTTTCAAGATCCCCTTCGTTTAGCTTCTGGCCTAGCTTCCCTCCTGCACGCCAGCGCACTTTCACCCACCTGCACTCCATCTCTTTCCTGGCTCCCAGTCCCACGCATCCTCATTCTACAACCCGTGTCCGGGCTGCGGCGAAGACTACTCTAATCTAATAGGTTTGTCATCCAAGCCAATGTCGTTTGAGAGCATCAAAATATTTTGCCACGGCCTGCGCGCCAACTTATTTAATTCATGTCAATAAAACTTTCTTAATCGCAGCTTCTCTCTGTGTGAGGTTGTCCAGGTTGAACTGCTATGTAACTTCATCATTTTAGTTTTAGTTAGTTCTTACTATTAGCTTCAGTTTTATCTCTAATTGTTCATTTTAAATGTATCTTTTTAGTATATGCTTTTCCTACTGTTTTATTCTTAATTATGAGTTATTTATTTTACTAGGCTAAAGTGGTTCCTTGCTAAAGTATTTAAACTAAAAATTGAAGTATTTGGTTTATAATTCTAAAAATCTATTACAACTTT